CGAGCAGCTCCTTCTTCCTTGCATCATCAAGCGAGTTGATGGGAGGCACTTTGTGGCTGAAATACTCCACAGGGTGCCAGTCGTCACCGTCGTGTTGTTCCAAGACTGCCCCAATGCCATAGCCGGAAGCGTCCGTAGTCACTCGCGTCGGCAGGGTGGGGTCATAGATGCTAAGGACGGGTGCGATGAGCATAGCCGTCTTAAGTGCTTGGAATGACCGGCGTGCGTCGTCATCGAATATGAATGGCACCTTTGACGACTGTAACCTCGTCATAGGTGCAGCAATCTTGGAGTATTCGGTGATGAATCGCTGATAGTAGCCCGCTAACCCCATGAATGAACGAACGTCCGTGGTGTTGGTGGGCTCGGGCCACACTCGTAGGGCCTCGTGCCTTGCGGCGTCACATAGTGTCCCAAGTACTCCAGCTCCTGCTGCACGAACTCGCACTTGTCGCGGTTTGCTTTGTACTTGGCCTGTCGTAGCCGCTCCAAAACGGTGCGCAGGTGTTCCACATGCTCGTCCAGACTCCGACTGTAAACCAGAATGTCGTCGAGGTAGATAAGTACGAAACGATCCAGCATGTGTCGGAACTCCGTCGTCATAGCCGCTTGGAAAGTGGTTGGGGCATTCGTAAGGCCAAATGGCATGACCATCCATTCGAAATGCCCATATCGAGTCTTGAACGCGGTCTTGTAGTGATCCTCCTTGCGAATCTCGAGTTGGTGGTACCCTGACTTGAGATCCAGCTTAGAGAAGAACTGGGCGCCGCCCAATCGCTCGAGAAGGTCGTCGATGCGTGGGAGAGGGCCGGCGTTCCTGATCGTCTGCGCGTTGAGCTTGCGATAATCTATGCACAACCGCAGGTCCTTGTTCTTATTCCGGACGAAGAAAACAGGACCACCGTATGGCGATGAGCTAGGCCGGATCCAACCTTTCTCTAGAAGGTCGTCGAGTTGTGCGCGGAGCACACTTAACTCTTCCTCGCTCATTCGGTAGATGCAGCCGCGCGGAGGTACGGCCCCGTCCTCGAGGATGATCTCGTGGCGGATGGGTCGATCCGGTACTACTCCGTGCGGGCCTTCGAACACGTCGCTGTAGGCGTCAAGAAGTTCGGTGATGCGTGGATCCGAAGGTGAGTCCGTCGATGAAGCGTCTCGGGGCGGGAGGGCGTGGAGAAAACACACCCCCATCTCCTCGATGTCGTCTCTGATGATGGAAGCTCGCATGCTTGCGGCGGATACCACGTGGCAGCTGATCGAAGGATGAGGAAGAGGCTCCGTGCATGGAACTAATACCCCGTTCTGGTCATGAACGTGAACGGTGCGGTTGAAGAAGTTCACTGGGTGATCCTTGCTTCGCAACCATGACATGCCCAAGATCATGTCAAATTTGATGTCCAGAATATCAAAGGACACCGCCTCACTTGCGTGAGGGGCAAAGTACACGGGGACGGCGTCAATGCACCGGTCAATTGACTTGTGCGTATGACCGTCTGCCAACGTGACTTGCGTAGGCTGGGACTTCCTCCGGACACGTGGGCCAAGGCCGGCGCGTACCATGAAGTCCTGGTTGATGTAGTTGCGAGATGCTCCGCAATCGATCAAGGCACTGCAGGTCGCCTCTCCGATCTGAATGCGTATGTATAGCAATGGTGCGTCGATGTCGTCGTACCGTTGCGTCTTGAACTCGCGGTCGATATTCGCGATGAAAACGTAAAGGTCGACAACCTCTGCTCCGGCGTCCATCAACGGAGCTGGTACTGGAGTGTGCAAGTAGTCCCGCAATTGTGCCATAAGCACGTTGCAATGCGGTTTCGGCAATTGTCCGGTCGAGGGAACGGGCATCCACTGGAAGTCCGTGAACGTCAACGGATCGAGCTCATCAAGTCTTGACCATGACGTTGGATCCCCGACGATAGATTGCAGCGAAACTGCCGAATCGGTTGCCGATGGTGATGAAACCGTGCATGCGGTGGACTGTTGCACGTGGACCGGTTGGTCCAGCGGTGGAACCAAGTGGACAGCATAATCCTCGTAAGTATACCGAGGACTTGCGACATTCGCATCCTCCCCAGATGTGCTGGAGGCCGCTAGCAAGGCGGCCGAATCTGGCGGAGTAGAAGGTGGAGTCGCCTCACCTTCCGCGGAGCTCAGTTTCCCGAGCTGAGGCGGGGTCGCACATCCTCCTTGCCCTGATCTTGGCACAGGGAGGTCTTGTGCTTGGTGCTGTTGCACCAATAGCAGCTGCCGTAGCGGCCACGGACCTTGTACTCCGCCTCGGTCAAGGCAAACTTGACCCATGGAAACTGTCCTGGCTGTCCATTTCCGGCTTGCGATGCGGATTTCGCCTTCCCATTGTTGCGGGACTTGTTGGTGCTTCGCGGCTGGACAGCGGCCACCTGATCTCCGTCACTTGATGCTGGAGTGGCTGCTGGGTTATCTCCATTGTCCTGCTGGACTGCAGCGAAGTGTTGCTATCGCGGACCAGTTCGTACCTTCTCCACATAGGTCGGCTGCCATGATGTTGATTTCTCGTGTGCAACTGACCTGTTGGTCTTGATGATCTCCCTTGCTTTGTCAATAATCTCAGCAAAGGTCGAGTACTGCTCGCGATCACCAAGAGCCTGGCTCAATGCAGCACAGGACCTGTTGTAGAACTCACGGCGTAGATGCTCAAATGGTAAGTTCAGATTGGGCACAACCGCAATCTTCTGCCACTCCGTGAGCCAGTCCCGTGCTGATGTGTTGCCCTGTGACATGGTGAACAAACGGTTGATGGCGAGTGTCGGCGCGTCGTCGACGATGAACCGCTTCTTCCACAGTCGTGACAGTTCCTCCCATGTGATTACGTCCGACAAGTCTGGTACATCGACGCCGTGGGTGGTTGCCAGGTGGCTCAACCAGGTCTGGCATCCGCCCTTTGAGTTCAGGAACAGGGCGTCGATGTACATACGGGCAGAATCCTGAGTTGCGTTGTGAATGCTTCCCACCAGAGGACCGGATCCTGCTGCGTGTAGTCATCGAACCTCTCCAGATTGAAGGTTGGCATCTTGTACATCTTCGGATTGCCATCCCCGTTCGTCGTCTGCAGCTGCTGGACCTCGGTCTTCAATGTATGCAGCTGATTGCTGATGGTGGTGGTCGGCGCAGCGAAAGTGCTGATGTCGTCGAGCATTGCCACTACGTGGTCAATGCGGTCCTCCACTTGGCGGCTCGAGGGTGCACTGCTGGAAGCCCCAGCAGTTGGTCCTGGTGCAGCCTGTTCCAGGTCCAGCAATCGGGCATTGAGTGCCCGGGTTGCATCCTCGTGGCTCTGCACCATGCGGCTGAGCTGTGCCAACTCCTGATGCTGTTGCGTCAGGTCCTGGTACTGTCTCTCCAACTCTGACCGTTGGTAGTTGCAAGCATACAACAACCGCGTCATGAGTTTGGAGAGGAACTCCTTGTGCTTCTCTTCCGGTGTTGCCTCGTCGCCGTTTGGTTCAAAGTGCCAGAACTTGAGTCTGTCGGTGCTTGTGGCTTCATGCCGTTGTAGCAGGTCCTGGGCTTCCTTGCGGCGAGCCTGGGAGTCTGCGTCTGCATCGGCCTGTAATCGCAGCTTCTCTGCTGCTGCTGCCTCTTCAGCCTGTACGCGGGCAGCCTCGGCTGCCAGCTGGCGTTTTTCCTCAGCCTCGATCTGAGCCAGGCAACGCTGCTTGTAGGCGGCAATGGACTCGTTGGGCAGTTGCCCTGGCAGGCCCGTCATGTTGCTGACGTGGCACTGCTGATGTGGCACTTTGTCTGACGTGGCACTGCTGATGTGGCACTGCTTACGTGGCACTGTGACCTGGTACTGCTGACATGGCACTGCTGATCTGGCACAGTGACGTGGCACTGCTGACGTGGCACTGTGACCTGGCACTGTGACGTGGCACTGCTGATCTGGCACTGTGACGTGGCGCTGCTGACGTGGCACTG